GTTAGGAAACAAAACTTCAAGAACACGGCCACACAGCCCGGAAGACCCACACCAGCCATAAGTTAGGAAAACATAATTTGATTTTTTTTCTTGCTATATAGCCTAAAAATGCTGCAATTTGCCCATGACAACTTGCTATAAATAATAACATTAGAATTACTTGGAAATAATACTCCATTTCCATTTTTAATTTACCAAAGGAATTGTTATTTCTGTACAGAATTTCCAGAAAAGGTTTATGCATTTGTTTATAAGTAAAATTTAGAAGGTAACAAGAAGAACTGGCAGTCAAAGATAAAGTAAGAACATACTTTCAGTGAATGAAATATGTATAATCATTTAAAATGTAATTTTAAAATATACCTTGAACATCTCTGCCTCAATTTGCTGGTGAACACCTACATAACTCTTCTTTATCTGCTGTTTGTCTTTGATCATCACAGTAAGTCTATGTAATGGCCCAGCATTCAAGTCTTCTGCATGTGTCTTCATGATCTTGCTAAGCTGCTCCGTTTGTTGCACAATAAGCAACCATGACTTAAAAAGAGATGAGAACTGATTTATTATTGGCTTAGAAACCAAAGACCGAGTATAAACTTTCTAAAGATAAGAGATATTTTAGTATTTATTGGCAGAAATCACTGTACAGTAGGATTACTAACATACCTGACTGCACTTATGGACTCAAGTACAAATAGCAATTCAAATATAGGGACTTAAATACAACCTATTTTAATGTACATAAACAAGCACACTATTCTATATAAACATGGAATAAAAACTGAGACCAGTTCTCAAAGCCACTGCAGATTACGCTTACATAGCAAATATATCTGAGAAGCAACTATTAATTCAGATTTTGAAAAGACATGTTACATAATATTGGTGCACAATATATTTAGAACAAAATTCTCTAAGTTTCATTCTCTTAAAGTAATCTTGGTTCATAAAATAAACCACATATGAAAAGCAGAGATCAGAATAAGTAAAATTTGAAGAATGCAATTAATTTTCAAAATAGGCTCCCCAATATAACTAAAGAGAAAAGGCAAAGATGTTTTAAATAAACTGTTATTCTTAACTCTGAAAATTACCACTAAAGTTTACTTTATTGGCCACAAATTGAAATAAGCCCAGCTAAAATGGTTTATTCTATCTATTTCAATGCACATTATCAACATACAGGTAGTTTTTCTTTGATGATCACTCATTCAGCAACCGTTCAAAGTTACGATGGCGCTGAATGAGTGGTACTTATGGCTGGTCCTTGAAACTCCAACCATCCCAGCACCCCTACAGTCACATGATTGCAACTTGGGCGCTTGGCCACCAGCTCACACTTACAACGGTTGCAGCATCCTACGATCATGTGATTGCCATTTGCAACCTTCCCTGCCAGCTTTCCACAAGCAAATGGGGAAACTGGCAGGGAAGTCACTCTGCATTTATACTTACATAGCAAATATATCTGAGAAGAAACTATTAATTCAGATTTTGAAAAGACATGTTATATAATATTGGTGCGCAAGTCACTCTGGTAAGTTGCTCATGCTCTCCCCCACCTGGCAGCAGCCACCCCTTGCCCCACCACGCTCATGCCGCTCACCCGTGCATCCTCCCCACCCAGCAGCAGCCACCCCTGGTCTGGACGTCTTTGCCTCACTCGCCACCTGCACACCACCCCCCGCCAGGCAGCAGCCACTTACCTCCTGCCAGCCTGCTTGCAAGTCACCTGGGACTCGCTTAATGATCCATGATCCTCAACTAACAATGACAACAGGGAGTGCTAGGACTGCCATTGCTAAGTGATGCACTCACATGATATCATGCTTTATAAGTGCACCGCTTAGCGACAGAAATTCAGGTTCCAATTACCATTGTTAAGCGAAGACTACCTGTATAATCTTGTTAGCTGCATTTCAAATACCTTAAAAATGTAATTAAGACCAAACCAAAAGGTTTACTTCTAAATGTCAAGACTGTAAAAATCACAGTTGCAGCATACATTCTGGCATGAAAAAAGTAGAAATGAAACTTCCAATCATCCATGTCCTTCCCATTCATATATGTTAACTTCTTAAGAGTTTCTATATCTAACAAATATGAAGATGAGAGTCTAGATATTAATTTAAATAATTTTACATAGGAAATAATTTAAATT